CCAACAAGTCTGTCAGAATGTCTGAGATTGTCCATCCCACCATTAAAGGTTCGTGCTTGTGCACCCTGGCGCATTTTCCCCCTCCACCAACAGTTTTATCAACCCCGCGCTTGATGTCACAGCCGCCACTTGACTAGATGTGACAGCATTACGACGAACCTGTTGACAAGTGGTTTGCTATCTGGGAGAAAGCAGAATTATGTGCGGGCCTACACAGCTCTGGAACATCATCATGCGGCATATTTCTTGCTGAACCTCACACTTGGATGCTGGCAGTGGCCTCGTCGTGACTGTCGCGTCAGAACGCACCCAGGGTTGAAAGGGCAACTTCACTAACATTGTTACAGATGGTTGGTTCCGAGAAATTTCGGACATGTGGCCTGGTATGAATAACGCCAACCCGTAAATGAGCTTCTTTATCACGAAACTTATACCTCCTGCCCAGGCCAGGCCATGACCCTCAAGGTTGAGAAGGTCTTGCACCACGAGAAGAGCCAGTACCAGGATGTCCTCATCTTCAAGTCGACTGATTACGGCACTGTTCTGGTCCTGGACAATGTTATCCAGGCCACCGAGCGCGACGAGTTCTCCTACCAGGAGATGATCACCCACCTCGCCATGAACTCCCACCCCAACCCCAAGAAGGTCCTGGTCATTGGCGGTGGCGATGGCGGCGTTCTCCGTGAGGTTGTCAAGCACGACTGCGTCGAGGAGGCTACCCTGTGCGACATTGACGAGGTAAATGTTGAACTGCAATCCCAAGACACTCCGTCACCATCTGATACTAACAAGGTCCCGAAAAGGCCGTCATCCGGCTTTCCAAGCAGTACCTCCCCAAGATGGCTGAAGGCTTCAAGCATCCCAAGTCCAAGGTCCACGTTGGCGACGGCTTCAAGTTCCTCGACGACTACAAAAACTGCTTCGATGTCATCATCACCGATTCTTCCGACCCCGAGGGCCCCGCCGAGAGCCTATTCAAGAAACCATACTTCCAGCTTCTTCATGATGCCTTGCGCGATGGCGGTGTCATTACTACTCAAGGTTGTATGTTCTCATTTTTTCTTGAGGAAAGTGTGAGGGTCCCTAGGAGTGGCAGAGGTTGATTCAAGGTTGATTAAAAGACCAGTTGCCTGGCAAGCTGCTGGACTCTCGGGTCTTTTTCTTCTCCTCAACTGGTACTCGAGAACAAATAACGTACCGTCTATCCTAGGGACTTCTCAGAGGCTAGTGGCTGCTTTCCTCAGCTCCGCTCCAGGAGGTCCCGAGTAGCATGACATTGTGCACCTGCTGTTACCGAGAGTTGACACTTTGTTGACGGACGTCTCAACACTCCTAAGATACCCGCCCAGATGCTGTGAAAGGACTTGTATTTTGCTGACTTGTACCGTTTTGTGTCACAGCCGAGAACCAGTGGCTTCACCTGCCCCTCATCACCCAGCTCAAAAAGGACTGCAAGGAGATATTCCCCGTTGCCGAATATGCTTACACCACAATCCCTACCTATCCCTCTGGACAGATTGGCTTCATGGTTTGCTGCAAGGATGCCAACCGCAATGTCCGCGTTCCTCTCCGCCAGTGGACCCCTGAGGAGGAGGAGGCCAAGTGCCGCTACTACAATGCTGAGATCCACAAGGCCAGCTTCGTCCTGCCTACCTTTGCTAAGAAGGCTCTGGAGTAAGTGCTCGGTTTTGGATATAGATTTGACACCAAGTACCTAAAATGGAAAAAATGGACACGGCCCTCTGAGCGCAATGATTTGATATGACGGCAAAATTTATGGGGTGAAAAATAAAAATTGGGGTTTGGGAGCTTCATGGCGGCCCTTGGGACACAAACAAACAGGAGCAATTACCATGGCACTCTGATCTTGGGTAGCCTCTGCGCAGAAATGTCTGCGAACACGGATAGAATAACGAATTGACGTTTAATCCTCAAAATAGGTTGCCGTGTTCACAACATGGTGACAATTGGTACCCACCTGTATCAGTCTCGTTGTTTTATATATTCTACACACTACCTACCGTAGACCCCGTAGATCTGAGATCCCTTAACCACCGCAAACCCAACTCAACATCACTCACGACCTAGGCTCATCAAACTTTGCCCCCGAAGCACTCACGTCAGCGTAGACATCAAATCTTCTCTGCGAGCCCAGCGGGATATTCTTCCTCGCCTCGTTGAGCACGCCTCCATCAAGCTCCGCCTCGACAATCGTCTCCGTCTCCTCGGCCTCCGCCACCACCGTGGCCATCGGATCAACAATCATGCTATGGCCCCAGGCGTTATACGACGCGCTCATGTCTCTCGCGGGACTACACATTGCCACGTAGATCTGATTATCCACCGCCCTCCCCTGCGCCAAAAGCTTCCAATGCAGCGGACCAGTCGTCAAGTTGAACGCGCCCGGGTAAATCAGCGCAAAGGCGCCTCTTCTCGCCGCAATCATGGCCAGCTCCGGAAACCGCACGTCGTAGCAGATGGCCACGGCCACGGTACCGTACTCGGGCAAGTCGACCAGCGTGACCTTGTTCCCGGGGCTCAGGACATCCGACTCGCGGAAGGTGATTTTGCCGGGGATGTCGATGTCGAAGAGGTGCACTTTTCGGTGCGTGCCCAGCAGGGCGCCGTCCGGGCCGAAGACCAAGCTCGTGTTGTAGTACTTTTTAGTGTCGGGGCTGAACTCGGGGATCGAGCCGCCCACGAGGTAGACCTTGTTGTCGGCGGCCATGGCGGACAGGGCGTGGTAGGACGGGGCCTGCTCGGGGGGCGGCGGTGACGGGAGCAGGGTCTCTGCGTAGTCTGGGAAGTACTGGCATCCGTAGGGCGAGTTGAAGCATTCCGGGAGCACGACAATGTTGGATCCTCGCGAGGCGGCCTGGGCGACTTGCGAGGCGGCGTGTTTTAGGTTGGCCGTCTTGTCGGAGCCCGAGGCGAGCTGGATGCAGGCCAGCTTGACGGGCTTTTTGAGCACGGATGACGACATTGTGCGGTGGAGATGGGTTTGTAGGAACGGCGATATTGATGGTATGGGGTTTGCTGAGCAGGATACTCTTACTCGGGTCAAGGTTTGGAGGTTTCGTCTCGGCGAGAGAGCTCGCATCGCGTCTGGTTGGAGGTTTGGGTTGGAGATGGAGATGTGGGCGTGGAGGGCCGTTGCGATTGCGGAGGGGCGGGTGGTGACTCGGGCTACTATTGTAAGAGAACCAGATAGCTACAAAGTACCTCAGTAGAACTCCGCACTCCGTACTTGCTGACCTGGGTAGGCAGGTACACAGCATGTAACGTCAAGTTTGATGGCCCAGGCGGCGCTGGTCACCAGCTCACCCCCTGCAGAGTCAGAGCTCATCGGCACGCATCCAATCGTCGCACGCAAACCGCACCAGGCAGACATTGTTCCGTGATCACGGATATCGATATCTGTCCCGACCAAGCAATCGCCACCTGCAAACGTGTCTCCATCAACGGCGTCTTCAACGCTCTCCCCGTCCTCAACACGCCGCAACCATGACCCGCGTCTACGTCTACTCATCGGCCCTGGTGGCCTTTGTAGCTGGTATGTCAATTATGCCTCCCTGACCTGTTTTCCTCATCAGTGCATCTGCTCCCCCCCAAACCCCGCGTCGTTGCACAATGACGTCGTTGAAGCAGTTCGGAAGCGGCGCGAGGACAAAGGAAAAAAAAAAAAGACTGTCTTCAAGCATTCGAATCCACTGCATCACCTAATCATGATGATGGTCAATGTTGAAATGGCAAGGAGGATGAATTATACTAACGAAATGCAGCGACGGGTATGATTGTCGCATCCATCTTTGTACCCAACTGGGTTTCCTACTCCGTCACAACTCCCAAGGGCGACGTCGTCGAAAAGCACATTGGCCTGCATAAGACCTGCTCAAACCTCAATAGTCCGACATGCAGGGAGTTCCCCACGGCCGAGTTGTGCCAGGCGGGCGAGCGATACTTTTGCGACATGTGGAAGACGGTCGGGTTCATGGCTTCACTGGCCGCCATAATGTGCTTGGCCAGTCTTGTCTCCTTCCTGGTCGTGATGAAGGGTGGCAAATACAAGCGCGAAACGGGCTGGCCGTTGGTCGCAGGCATGCTTACCCTGGTGTCGGTTGTAGAGTTTGTCATTATTTCGATTGTGGTGAGTCCCCTCTCTCTCTCTTTTTCCCCCTTTTCTAGTCATTATCACAGATAGCTGAGACAGCATCTAGGCATACCTGTTTGATCATGACGAACAGTTTACCATTCCCGGTTGGAATCTCGACGTGTCGTGGTATATCAGCACCGTTAGCGCAACTATTGCTCTTCTTGCAGCTGCAGGTCTGGCCGTATCTGCGTATCTGTTGCCGCCTGAAGAGGGTTATGAGTTCCTGGAGGATCCGGTCGATGCTTGAGCCATGAGATATATGAATACCAATCACGAATATTAAGCATGCTGGTGTTGCGAGCTTTGGCGAAGGAGTTGAGCTTTTCTTCGTGTGCTTGTTCTCCGATGTACATATATTAGGGTATCGTGATTTGAAGGAGTTTCGAAGAAGGTGCCGTATTTTTTGCTGGGGTGTACACCAGCCATGGTGTTGTGCGTTTGATACGATATCAATATATGAAAGACTCAGCACCACTTCCTATTCTGAGTGAAGCCGAAGTCGTGATTGATCCCTCACAAGCGTCGTTCATACCACTCTGTAGTTTGCACCCGCTGATGCAAGGACAACACAACCCTGCCGCAAGGAGCAATGGACGCACGTAGCCCGTCCATCGGAGCTCCCCTTTTGTGTCCCGCTGCGGGGTGACATGCCGCTGCGGAGAGAGCAAAACGTGGGGTGAGACGCACCACCACTTGATTGATCCTCACCTACCTTGCCTCGAGGAGGATATATATATCCCACCGCAATCGCAATCGCTGTCAAAGCATAAAATCACATAAAAATCAAAAGTAGGCCTCCCTCCTCAGGAACACCCGGGTTGGTCCCCGAACAACCCAGCCCACCACCATGACAGCCCCCGGCCTCACCCCAGAACAACTCGCATCCTTCCAGCAAAACGGCTACCTCATCATCCGCGACGCCCTCGCGCCGTCGACGGTCGAGTCCCTCCTCGACGAGACAAGCTCCCTCCTCACCAGCTTCTCCCTCAAGGACCACCCGCTCACGCGCTTCTCCACGGGCGAAAAGACCGACCACGTCGGCGACGAGTACTTCCTCACGTCGGGCGACAAGATCCGCTTCTTCTTCGAGGAGGACGCCTTCGACGCCGCAGGCACCCTGACCAAGCCGCAGGACAAGGCCGTCAACAAGATCGGCCACGGCCTGCACGCCCTGTCCCGGCCCTTTGCCCGCCTCATCGACGGCTCCGCGCTCCGCCAGGCCGGCGAAGTCAGCCCCCCCGACGTGGCCAGGTCGCTGGGCTACCGGGACCCCAGGTGCCTCCAGAGCATGGTGATTTGCAAGCAGCCCGAGATTGGGGGCGCGGTGCCGCCGCACCATGACTCGACGTTCCTGTACACGGACCCGCCCAGCGCCACGGGCTTCTGGTACGCGCTGGAGGACGCGACGCTGGACAACGGGTGCCTGAGCTTCTTGCCCGGGTCGCAGAGGTGGGCGGCCGTCGAGAAGAGACTTGTCCGGAGGCAAGGCGGTGTTGGCACCGAGATGGTTGACAACGAGGGGACGAGGTTTCCTGATGGGCACAAGGGCCAAGGGCGGCCGGCCGGCGTCGAGGGGGAGGACGAGTATGTGCCCGGGGAGGTCAGGGCCGGCGACTTGGTCTTGATTCATGGCAACCTGTTGCACAAGAGTGAGAGGAATACCAGCTTGAAGGGGAGGATCATTTATACGTTTCACATCATCGAGGCGGAGGGGACCAAGTATGATGAAAGGAATTGGCTGCAGCCGCCAGAAGGGGGCTTTACGAAATTGTATTCATAGGGTACGGTGGGAAGAAAAAACAATATTACATGGTTGACTTCGATATTTTACGTTTTGTCGTCAAATTGGACATTGTGAGTTTCCAGAGACAACAGAAGTATAATTCTAGACAAAAACTTGTGTGTTCGCATTGCTGCTCTAAACTGTTTTTTTTTTACCCCTTCAAGCCCGGGCAACTCCCCCTTCCCATGCACAAGTAAGTACACTTGTCATCGCAACATTTGGGTATCTATCTATTGTCCCCCCTGTGACAATTTGCAAATGCCAAAATGATACAGTCTAAAATCCCTGCAAACGCTTTTTTGGTCTCATACATCCCGTGAGGGGCTTTGCATCTCATACATGATCTAGTCATCATCATCTGCGCTGTCGTCGGCCGAAGAGGACGAAGAGGACGACGAGCTGCTGGATGATTCGTACCCGTCGTCTTCCAGGGCCACGACCTCATCATCATCGTCTGAGTCCGAGTCATCAGAATCTTCAGAAGAGCTGCTGCTTGAGTCAGAGTCGCTGTCTGACTCCGATTCTGAACTGCTGCTGTCATCCCCATTGATGCGTATTTTTCGCCGGCGCTTGGCTGTCCCGTCGTTCAGCTTCAATTGCTTTGCGCCATCCGTCCTGTTCATTGTGTGATTGTCGTTGGTGGTGAAGGTGTTGTCTGAAGATTGTGTCGTCTGGCTGGTGTCTGTCTGCTCTCCGTCTGATAGCTCATCGAGGATGATTTCCGCTCGCAGTCGCTTTACGACACGGCGGATGATGACATTATCAGCCCCAGATGATGCAACAAATTCAACTTCATCATAGCCCTTTCGCTTTTTCCCGATATGCTGGCGGCTCAGGAAGTCGGACAATAGATTCATGTATGTTTCGTGCTTGGCATCGGCTTCCTTTGTGCCCTCCGGGAACCCTGAGGGGCCATCCGCAGTATCCTTTGCTTTTACTTCCATAGCAGTCTCTCGCAGCCTCGTCCGCACAAATCCTTTCAGGTCGCGTATATACTCATAGAAGATGGCAATGTCTGCTGCAGGGATATCATCGGCGTTGAATACCCGGTCGATAAGAAGAGACTGGAAATTCTTGTTGAACTTCCAAGCCTCACGAGATGTTTTCCACTGTTTGAGATAATCAAGAGCGGGCTTGATGTCCTTGGGGGTGGCAGGCGACTGTTTCTTGGGAGGGCCTTTGTTCTTTTTGGAGCTGGCTGGTTTGGTCTTGGTCGAGTCGGGTGTTGCGGAAGAGGTTCCGTTCTTTGTCGGAGTGTGTCCAAATGTGACCTTTTTAGTTTCTTTCTTGAGAATTGTCTTGTTGTCGACACTCGGGGGAGATTGATTGTCCTTTCGAGCCTTTTTAATGGCGAGCGATGACTCCGTGGCCGGCGGGGCTTCGCTCTTTCTTTTGTTCGACTGGGCTTCACGCTTGGTGCTGCTTGGATGCCCAACCGACAGGGTGCCGCCATTGGCAGCATCTGTTGCAGCACTGGGCTGCTTGAGCTTGAGGCCCAATCGTTTCCAGGCTGGCACCTGGTGAGATGCTGTGCTCTGCGACGACGTCATTTTGCTTGGGTCGAAATGTTGGAAATTTTTTCCGTCGTGGTAGTCAAAGTGAGGCAAACGGGCGGATTGGAGGCAAGCCGGAGAAAATTGGCACACGGGCCTGCGGGATCGCAACGCAGGCGGTCAGCTCTGCAGCCCACGTTGCTCTGCTCAGAATTTTCTAGTAATACCCAGTAAGGCGAGATCTTGACACCTCGTGGCTTTCCGATCCTGCCAGAGTCTCTCCGATGCTTCTTCCCACACGTTGGGAGCTGATGTTGTTGTAATGCGGAAGCTGGCCTTGGGTGCGACTCTCAGGTTGCAACTTTTTTCTGGGTCAGATCAAGACGCCGCTGCCGACCCGTTTTGAAGACCTGGTATGGAGTCACTCGCTGTCTTGGGTCTGGCCTCTTGGTCGCCTCTTGGTCGCCTCTTGGTCCCCTCTTGTTGTTTTGCGTGGCTGAGTGACGGCAGCACCTCAAACGTCTCTCGTCCACCCAAAATGGACCAGAAAATGTGAACAAGATTGCCGGTATTACTTATTAAATCCTACCAGCGATTCGCCATTGTTTCACACAACTAACAGCACTGCGTTGGGCAGCAAGTGTCGTTGCTGGCTGCGGACGAGTGGAGTAGAGGGAATATTGAAGACGGGACTTGAAGTCCCCACTGCAAGTCTGGGCCCACTTGTCCAGGTCACTTGCTGCCTCAGGCTTCAACATGCATTCGGCCAAGGCATTCGCTTGGCCTTTGCCTTTGCCTGCGAGCTTCCGTTGCCTGCTGCGGCTCCGAGTGCTCTAGGCAAGCTCATGCTAACGTAACGCGTCAAGTCCATACAATCGACAAGCTCCATCACCGTCATCACGCACCCAGCAGTCTATCCCTCCCGTCCGACCTGCCACTCGTTCCGAGCCCCTTCTGAATATTCAATCAACATATCCAGTCGTCTCGCCCTGCGCAGGGCCTCTGATCATCCACAATGTCTGGTTCGTTCTCCCGGGCCGGAGCTTCAACGACCTCTTGGTGAGAGCTGAGCAAAGACCTGACGCTGACTTGTTAACAGCCAGCGCCTATGACCGACACATCACCATCTTCTCCGACAATGGTCGCCTATACCAAGTCGGTACGTTTCGCGTCGAAAACCCTCTTCACCAAAACCCCGCCATGCAGCGTAGTCGACTCGCCGAATGACCTCGCTGACCTATGTAGAATATGCCTTCAAGGCCATTACCGCAGCAAACATCATGTCAGTAGGCGTCCGAGGAAAGGATTGCGCTGTCGTGCTGTCGCAAAAGAAGGTGCCGGTAAGAGTTGAAGGCCTGTGTCATGTCGTCAACAGCTGCAATATGCTAAAACAGCGTGGCAGGACAAGCTCATCGACCCCACGTCAGTCTCGCACATCTTCCAGATTTCTCCATCAGTCGGCTGTGTCATCACCGGCTCCATTGCCGACGCCAGGGCATTTGCCCAGAGAGCCCAGGGTGAGGCTGCTGAGTTCCGATACAAGTTTGGGTACGAGATGCCTGCCGATGTGCTTGCCAAACGTTTGGCCAACATCAGCCAAGTATACACGCAGAGAGTGCGTATTCCAATGCTTCGGGTCCGACTATAGATCCTTTTCTGACTTTGTATTGCAGGCATACATGCGTCCCTACGGTGTTGCTACAACCATCATTGCCCTCGATTCCGAGTTTGGGCCTCAGCTGTACAAGTGCGATCCTGCCGGCTACTACATTGGATACAAAGGCACCGCCGCTGGCCCTAAGCAACAGGAGGCCTTGAATCACCTGGAGAAGAAACTGCGCAACAAGGACTGTGCCGAGGGCACGTGGGAGGATGTTGTAGAGCTAGCCATCACAACATTGAGCACGGTTCTGAGCATGGATTTCAAAAAGGGGGAGATTGAGATTGGCATCTGTGGCGGCCCTCGTACTGATGGAAAGGAGGGCACCGATGCGGCTTTCCGAATGCTCACCGAGGACGAGATTGACGAAAGACTACAAGCCATTGCGGAGAAGGATTAGTTGGACTTGATAGGCGGTCTGTGGGAGATGAGGCGTTGTACAATATACCTTCTAATAGAAGAAACGACATTGAATCTCGAGGAACACTTGATGAAATGGGACGGAAGTGAAACCCTATCAACGGCCGTGGCGTGTCAGGAGGACTCTTGATTGTGTGCTTGCCCGATTAGAAGACGTCTGCATTGGGTGTCAAACGGAAGCAATGATGACTAGGTCTCCGCGTATCGGTGTCTGTCGACGTGCCAGCCATGTGAAATTATAAAGAGTACAGTGTACTGGGTGAAAAGAGGTCAAAAGTAATGGTCAAGGTATTTCTGAAGTAGCTTAAACCACTTTATCCGGAAGAAAGTGTTTATGTCAACATCTTTTAGCTTCTTTGTCGATGACACTGAGTGGTGGCTGAGACTTTTCAGGATCTTGTAGGTGATGACTGGGATGAAGATGAGTTTCACTCAACTTGAAATACGACAAGGTGAAGTAGGGGTTGTAAGTTAAATAATTATTGAATGATTGGCTACCCTATAGCCTTTTTGAGTGCCCTTGTGCGTAAGCCACGCGGACAAGGTCTACTCCAGACACGGCATTGGAAAAAGAGAAGGGGCAAAAAAGAAGGGCATCGCTTTGTCCTATTGCCCCCCCCGCCTCTCTACCTGCCTCCCTTTCTCCTCTTGGAATTTCCGGAAAGCTTTCTACGGTGCCCGATGATGAATTTGTTCCGCACGCATACTGTCGGTGCGGAAAAAGATCCATGGCGGCCGTCGACCCCAGACGGAAGCCGTGCAGCCCAATGGAACAGGCTCGACGCCCAGGCAGATGCCGGGAATGGCTGGCTGGGCCAGTGACTCCAGTCTTAGCACCCGAAAAGGCCTCGGGCCACCACAAACAAGCCTGCAAGCCTCAGCCCTGCCGCGGTGGCTTCTGCAACCTCGCAACAGCCGCATGACGCAAGGCCGTCATGATAAAATGCCACCCGCTGTAACGGGTTCCCATTGGCCGGACAGGCCAGGAAAAGGGCCTGCCCAAGAGGCTCTCCAGCTGGACAGGGATCGCTGCTGCTGTTGCTTAAAATACAGACAGACGCACATGCGAGATTGTGCGTTGCAGACGGGCAAAACTTCTGCGATGCGCCATGCGATGCTACCAGACCCGTTGCGGCGAGCTTGAACCCGACTCTGCACTTGGTACCGACGGCTCGAACAAAGTTTCCGAGAGGGCTGAAAAAAAGAAAAAAAAGTGTTGGACAATTCTTTTTTTCTCGGGATATAGTGAAGCAGGCCCAAAAAGGCCTCGCCTCGTCTATCAACATTAAAGTATTGACGGTTCATTTGGCACCATCGACCAATCATCTTGCACCGCGGGGGGCGAACCAGTCCATGAACATTTTCGGAGTTTTACCTTGTGAATTGTTATGTATGCCTTTCTAAGACAACCCGCCCTTGTAGCCGGTTTCGCTTAAATCCGACTTAAAAAAAAGAGAGAGGGAAACAATCTCACAACACAGTTCCAGGCCACGTCAGGCTGTCTAAGACCAAATCGGTGATGCAGGCGCCCAGGATTGTAGCGAACAACCCATGGCGTGGGAAATGTGAAATTGTCGCCGATTGACATGGGCCCATGGTTGCCGAAAGACGTCTGGCTGTGAATTTTTTTACTTCCTTCTTCTTTTGCCCCGGGTATGTTCGCCGGATGTCCTCTCCTCTGGTGTTACCCGTGTCGTTGAAGTTTCCTTGCTCGCCAAAGAAACTCTCGAGGCTCTAGATTCGTGCCTGATGTACCCACAACTGCGGGAGTGACATGTCGCGGGCTTGTCGGTCCAATCATGGCGGCCCGGCTGGAAATGTCACCCAATTTCGTCGACCGGGCCCCAGTTATATACCATCGGGCTGAGCTCCGAATCTGACTTCGGATGAACCATCTCGATGTCCTTCTTGGGACGTTTTTTTTTACTTTTGTTGCTGGCAATTGGGAACGCGAGGCATCGTTACACAAGTAGAGACAAGGAAAAAAGCCTGTCAGGCATGGCCTCACGAGGCTCGACGTGACACATAGCATGCGCAGCGCATTGCATCGCATTTCAGCAGGACCACGTTTTTTCTGTCGTGCGTCTTACATACTCAAGTACATGCCGTCTCTTGTCTACGGAGTAAACGGTCCCAACCTCGGCCTTGCTTGATGCCATTGACTGTTGTAAGTAGATAACTAGTCATGACGGTTTCGCTCGGTTTCGCTCCTCGGCGGTATTATGCATTATTCATACACGGCTACTCGTGTCGTCGGTCGAGACAAGGCTGCATTCACCATCAAGAAATCCCCATCCCAAGCAAAGTGGGGCCTGCCAATTCCACCACCCGTCCAATAGACCATTGCGTCAAAACCCCCCGGCGGGGTGGCAAAATAATCAACACCCCCCTGCCAAAACCCAATTCCGCCCGTCTCCGAATTTAACCTCTCATCAACAAAAACCACCGACACATCATTGCCTTGCCTGCTGCCCGTCCACTAGCCCTATTGATAGACTGCTCACTCGACCATCAAATCAGACGCCATTCCGGCTCTCTTGCTCCTACATACAGGACATTCCCCCCCTCGCCCTCTCCACCCACGATGCAGGACGACAAGCCCCCCGTCATCAACTACGTCGTCAGCTTCGTCCTCGTCGGGCTCGCCTGGGGCCTCACGACGCCCTTTATCCGCCGCGCCGCACGCGCCCACCAGCCGCCTCCGCATCCCACGCTGGAACTAGACTCGGTCAAGAACCACTGGCTGCGGAGCAGGCTGTACGGCGCATTCTTCGCCGTCGCTGATCTTCTGCGGAACCCGAGATATGCCGTTCCCCTGCTCTTGAATTTGACGGGCAGCATATGGTTCTTCCTCCTCATTGGACAGGCCGGTATGTTTCTTCAAGTTGTCCTCTTTTCTCGGCTCTTGCCCACCACGTAGCCCCCTTTTTCTTTTTCTCTCTCTTTTTTTGAATCATCGTTACGTTTTTTTTTTTTTTGTGTCGCAAGACATTTCATTATACACTCTCGACCAATATCCAACTAATATCATCATGTCTGTAGAGCTGAGCTTGACGGTTCCTATTGTCAATACCATGGCCTTTCTTTTTACTGTTCTTGGTGAATGGTATGTCGAGGGGAAAGTCATTAGCAGAGGTGAGATGACCATCCCTTTCATCGCCATTCAAAAACGCTTGTTCACTCACTCACCACCTCTAGACACGAGCGTGGGAATGGTACTGTCCCTTGTTGGAATTGCGTTATGTGTTCAAAGTAAAACTTGACAAAATTATAATTGTCTTTTTCCCCCCCAAAAAAAAAAAAAAACAAAAAAAAAATAAATTTTGTGTTTCCCCCCCAAAAAAAAAAAAAAAGCCAAAAAGATGAAAGAAAGAGGTTCTGGCCAATCCGTAAACCATATGCCACGATACCAATTTGCCTGAACCCCCTTGTGAATACCTGATGTGGTTGCCTAATTTTCACCTGGCAAACCTAGGCCACTATGCAGAACCCTGTTGCAAAGCAATTCAACACGAATAAATTAAATCTAAATCAGAATGCCCATTGGTTCCCCCAGAAAAAACAATCCTTTTTATCCTCTGTACCAGGCAATGTAATCAAGAACAAAGAACATTAACATTGTAGACAGTGCTCCATGCTCCCTCTATATGCAATTTGACATACAAGTTCGCTCCCGTAAAATCCAACATTTATCTGGGGATGGCCAGCATCCCTTGGTTTTGACCCAATGCTCGCTTTGTTACCCACAAATGCCATGCACCGATCCGCTGAAAATCAAAATCAAAGAAACGTTGAATTTTTGATGGCGCTGTCATGTCCGTTCCTTGTGGTGGAATTCAAGTCCTCTCAGGCGATCGTTGTTCGCTTTTGATTATTTTTTCCCCCCAAGACTTTCTCAGAATATGAGTCGTCCTAGCCGCATTAAAGTTTGCAATTGTTGAGTCTGTCATTCCGCATCACGTCATCGTTGTGGTGCCCTCAGCCAGCGCAGGACACTTCTTAAACTCGGGTCTTCGACGGTCCAGCGTCCACAGGCATAGTCTGAAGCTGCCAATTCATTGTACACGCTTTCGTCGGTGATTGAAGCGAGTTCCTATGGACGAGTCAGACATCTCCTCCTAAACACATGCTCCTCGACCCTGCAGTGGCGGGGAGAACTCTCGATACATACAGCACGTAGCTCGTTATCACAAGCACCCAACTGATGCTGGATAGCTGCGCGGGGCTGTTGGCTTTGGAGAATCGAGTCTCGATATAACAACCAGCGCTGAGCGGCACTTTGCCTCATGTAGATCTTCTGTCCCTGGTGTCGCCTTGAGAAAGCATCTAGCAGAACCCTGCTCTTCGAATTAGTTACCATAGCTTGGAATGATAAATGTTGCATTGGCTCTTGGTGAGACTCGTATAATGAGGTGATGGGGAGCCTACTGCTTCAGCTCTGCCTTCGTTTGCTCTTCTTGCCCCCCGTTCACTAGGGGCACCCTGGTGTCAGCGGCACATTCGAGGATGCGGTGGCCGTCGATGGCACATTGCCGTAGGGTTGCCCAACCCTCCAAGAAGTAGTCGTCCGCATATCTAGGACTAGACGGTGCATCTGTAATGCAGTGTTGCAACGTGCGGAAATCATCCAGAAGTTCCGCCACTCGGGCTGTGCGACATTCGTTGACTGTAAAAGTCTTGGTATTAGTGGAATGTTGAGCGTTTATGGTTTGCCTTGATTTGGCATGCAGAGCCCCTTGGCAGCATCATGAGATACGTTGGAATAATGTCATTACAGAGCAAGGCAACAATAATTGTAATGTAGTTGGGAGCAGGTCCTGATTCAAACTTACGTCCATCCATGATGTCGTAGTTGGTGTAAGTCAAAGATGCTGGGTCACCTTGGTATAGGAATGATGCGTCATAAGCAGATGCCAGAGTGCCAAAGTTGGGATTGTGGGAGGACATGACGGCAATTATATAATGATGCGGTGATGTAGGATGTTCATGTAGTCAAGCAGTCAAGCTCTGGCGATCCTGAAACGAGTCGAACAGAGCAGTGAGCCAGCCGGCCTTTTATGAGTCTCGGAGGGCTAAGAGATTGGCAGGTTAAGGAGAAGAAAGCAATGAATATCGTCGCGCATTACAAGACAAGGCCGAATGTGAAGCCTGTTCAAGCAAAGTCCCATTCTAGCGGAGGAGCTGGCTTTCTAGGTTCCTCCCCCCGGAAACCAAGCCGCCTTGTGCATCGTGATCGTCCCGTGGCCATGTTCAAGGATCCCGTTTGGGTCGCTATCCAACGGGAAAGCTTGGATCTCACCCAAAGTCTCGGTGCCTGTCGTCCAAATCGGCTAGTGATCATGGTCCCTGTCGATTGATGGCGTATCATGGGTCTTGGTAGGACGGTGGGGCCAAAATGGCGGCCCTGAGCATCCACGAACATCCAAATGTCCACAGCCGCGACGACGACAGATGGAGAAGCAGCGCCAGGCACGTCTGGCAGGCAGGCTGGTCAGCTTGCACGAGGCGAACTGGGAGCCAATGGTGGTAAAGGCCGTGACAGTGATGCACATTTTCAATGAAGTCGTCGGATACGGTCGATGCAAGCAGTTGCAAGCTCAAAGCTGGATCAGAAACCCAGTCCTATTTCAGTCCAGCTACTGTCCGTCAGCCTTGCCGTCCAACGAGATGCTGGTGTTGGCCCTACCAGGCTGCGTCGTCCCCAGTTTCTCCTGCGGCCCCTATCCCTTTTGTTCCATTGTGCCTAAGCGTCCGCTTTGTTGCCAATTAGTCGTCATACGTGACTGGTACGGCCACGATGGATACACATGATGAGTGGCGACTTGGACTGATAAATGGCAACAAATCGTCTGTAGTTGATCGAGGTGGGACAGCGACAACGTATGCATGTTTATGTCGCGGTGTGAGCAACTGGCGGCAACACCGGGGGCACAAGTTACAACCACCCCTGGGATGTAGCATGGAAGCCATGTTCGGCCATGTTCGGTTTGTGATATGGTCGACTTGCCGCTGGCCAATGTCGTCCCGGCTTCAAGGCCAGGTGCGGAGGATGTGAAGAGCAACTTCAGATTTCAGACAGCCATCTTTCGCAAAAGCGTCTTTTTCCTTCCCCAACCGTCTTGCCACCATGCGGAGGGCCAGCAGGGTCGTGTCCCCCCGCGGCAGCGCAAAGGCGAATGTGCCAGTGGGGGCCATGTACGGCGATGTCGAGTAGCCCTACGGAACACAGGAGGGATCGTGGGCTCAACTGACGTCAAGTGCGGTTTGCTAAAAAAAGGGGCATGCTGAGCATTGAATGGATGACTGACTGGCTGGTGGCATCGCCAATGTGGAAACGTGCTCCCTTCAGCTACTGTTTGACACGCACCAGTTGACATGTGCAAGCATTGCCTAAGTTGGCCAATTTGCCGAAGCTAAACACGGCAAGACCGCCCGACTGCCAATGATAAGTGTGACACGCAGCGAGGGAAGGAACGTCTAAGCCATTGCCGAATCCAGTCAGCGCTTGACGACGCAGACAGCAATCAATACCTTCAACGCCAAGGTTCAATTTTTTTTTGTTTTGCTTTTGACCTTTGGCTTTTCCTTTGCCGGGTGTAAAAGTTCTTGGAGTGCAATTCCACGCCGCAGCCATTGTCCTTGCGATATCCAATCTTATCGCTATTGCTTCTAAAACCTGAATCAATGATGGCCCTCGTCGTTGCTTGTTCTTCCCCCTGCATCATATGAATTTCTTCTCACAGCAGCCTGGACCGATACCGATGCCAAAGAATAGTCTAGACCATGCTCAATAACGTGGACATTCATTTCGCCCTTTTAATTTTATATTTGATACGGAAATTAATCCATCATGGCCTCTTCCGTGTTTCGCCCCAAACCGCCACTCCCGCCCCTGGCTAACGTTAAGTCGTTTCTTGACCAGCAGCCGCGCCGTCTCTAGGGAAAATGGTTCCATCATTATCCGATTGGCCATTCCCTGTCTTGCCCTACCGAAACCTCGCCTTTCGGGCGGCCAAAGTGCCGTGGAACCTGATTACCGACCCGGCTGTGAAGAGGTGGCATGTCACTCGGGAATGCACGATCCAGTACGGAGGTGGACCCGTGAATCGCAGCCCCCAGTCGTTCAAAAATCAGCTCTCTTGGCCTGAAATGACTAGACGACGCGTATGAAGCGAGGCGAGTATCGCATCCAATCTAAAGCAACGTAGTATGACCTAGGCGGCCTTGCGGTCACAACTGTTAAACAGTTCATGAGGCCCTACAACAATGATCTTGGAAGCATTGACTGCGGGTTGAAAGCAAAACTTCTTATATGAGGAGACTATACTCTGTAAAGAGTTTCTGGACATGTGTTGTATTTTTTTCTTACATTGTGCTACAACTACCTTTGTAGTTGGGACACGTCAGCTACCTGAGACTCACAGCATGAATATTCTTTCTTTCATCGAAACATACCCATCTTCCATCATACTTGGCTGTACAAGTATACAATTACGAAATCAACTGTTCGAGTGAAACACTAAAATTTCCGGGCAATAGTTTGTTTCCCATGACTTTTGGCCATGAACTTAGACTCCAGGACGAAGACCCGAAGATCCCAAAAAAAGTGACCGTAGGTTATAGGGCTTTTGTCCGGCATGGCCAACACAAAACATGCTCCAAACCCCGTGCAAGGATGTAATTTCGTGTAAATAACGCCGTTGCTGCTCGGTGTTGGACCAGCTTCATGAGCCTTTCTTTTCTAGTCGAAGAGCTGAACCTACGAATATTGAAGCAACGCCCATATTTGCAGCATGCCGACTTAATCAATGCCGCCACCTTCTTCAGAATCAGCTTAGCCTTTCTTGATGTAACAGCATTGGCATCCTACATGTGGCCTTTATTGTACCACCCCTTACTTAAGCCAACAATTGTCAAGTCCCTTCCTTCGGCGAAACTCTGTAGATGGGAATCTGACGCAAGGCACAACGAGCAAAATCGTCTTTCAACTCGGATGATATTTGACCACGGCGGTGCATTCTTTCATTGAAGTTGCCTTGTTAGATGCAAGAAACCATCCCGAACACTTGGACGACTCTGCAGGAGCTGATCACAAGAACAGTACCAAATCGCTGCAGTTTGGGGAATGCAAGAAGCGAGATGGCCGGTGTGCCCTCATATCGGGGGTGCAATGCTTTTGCAAGAAAAAGGGAAATGAACGCAAAATGGCTTTACATAGTGAAGAAATGAAACAGACCGACCTCTTGCTGGCTCATCACTCCGTCTCGTCTTGGTTACAGTACAATGACGCTAGATCACCTTGTTGTCGACCACATTCGCAAGATAAAGGAGAACACCAACAGGAGCCAGGAGCTTTACCAAGTCTTGGGAGCCGACCGAAAATCCATTACTGCAGTTCCGCGAGAGTGATACATCTAGAAGCGTCCTCCATTGCTTCAATATGCCTAGCCTCTGCGATTACCCTGACCAAGTACAATGAACTGCAATTCCATCCGTCATATTGGCATCGGCATTGAAATCAGCGCGCTGTTACGCCATTATGCCCTCAATGTTGAATTAAAGGAAGACCATGTGTCAAACTGCGCCGAAACATTTCATTTAGACGAGGATTTGAAGGCAGAGTCGTCTATGGGGGCCATATATCTTCTGTCAAGTCTTGCCCGGCGCCAGCTCGCTCTAGACAATGCCGCCTCCGCAACCGGCTGAAATGATTGTTCCATTGTTATAATGGAGATGTGAAATACTGCTTTATTCGGCGTGGCTAGCCACTGGACGCCAGCTCTTAGAAGCTTGGGAGAGCTAATCTCTTGGGTCTCTCACACTGCTCGCTCGGTTGAAAGCAAGGTCTGGCTGTTCACAAAAGCAGTCACCGGCTAAGAGGATCAGGATCTCTTCATCCAATACAACCATGTAACGATTGCCGTTTCCTTCAACCTTGCGTCCATGTTTTTCCAGACATGGCGTCATATATCATTTTCGAGCCAGGGGGGTGCAATATAAAGTCGCAGCAAGGAGGCAAAGTGCATTTTGCCGCAAAAAGAAGCAGCATAATATGCCAGTGTGCACTTTGGAAAATTTTTGAAGGATACGCTGTGGCCGACCTTAGCGGCAGCATTTCACCGCCAACTGATGCATGACACGTCCCGACGTCACCGATGACGGACGGAATATGCTTACCACGTTACACGCCAGACACCCGCGACTCAGCTTGCGTCGAACCGTGTAACTGAGCCGGGGAATGGGAATTGATCCATCAAAGCAGAGTACATTCGTGTTCAGGGAACACAAGTAAGGGGTCAACCGATCTACGTGTGACTACGCCGCGTGTTGCAATCTAATGTCATGCCTGGAACAACCTTGATAGGGTGTTCTAAGCGCCCTCTCACTTTCTGGACTTTGAAAACATGGATAGTTTTCAGCGTCCCCAAAGGGCCTTTCCCGATGGTGGTTCACACGCTGTCTGTAATCTCAAGCAACTAGTTGCATCACAGCCAACCTTTACAATTGCCATCTCCGGACTCACTTTGGGGATAGAGCCATGGTGCTTCACGGCTTGGCTACTTTATTTTAGCATGCAGATGACGTGCTGAGATTCGTAGATTTCATTGTTTCGTGTCAGGTCAGGAGACTCGCTTCCATGCTTCCGGCCTCCTAGTCGGACATATGCTACGGCGGCTGGCTCCATCTACGGCCTACATGAAGTGGTTGCAAACGCTCTACACGAAATTCAAGTCGGCCTACGAGCCTGCTACGTTGTGTCGCGTATTCTGGACAGCCATGTCTGCTTTGTTCAACAAGTTTCATGAATGCGACCTATGGCGTGGTCGATTGCTATGCGGGATTGAGCAACCCGGCCAGTATGGTATCTGGGTTTCACTAAAAACAAATCAAGGGATATAAAAGGAACACTATTCACCCTGTCCGACAACGCCCAGCCCATGAAAACC